TTAAAGATTTCCAGACATGCTAAACTTAATTTTTCAAATTTACTTTATTTCATTATAAAATTTCATCAGTCCATTTGAAAACATGGGAATTTTTTTTTTAATCATCTGTTTATTGTAAAAGTTAACTGTGTAAAAATTATAAAATTCATACAAAAAGTTGATTTTTAACTACATTTAATGGAATCTAAAGTCCGGAAGTTAATACTGTCACGGTGTTTACCAACACTCCGTGAACTTCTTGACTTTTACTATCGGTCTTCACTCGCTTGGCTACTATATACGATGACTGGAGTATCGTACCAGATACTGCCACCGAATGCTCACACAGGCAAAACAGTTTATTCACTAAGAATCAAAGCTATTTCCCAAGAACGAAAGTTAGGCACTTCCCCATTTGGATCGATCCATGCCTTATATATTATACTAATCACTAATGATTACTACTACTAATCGCTACTAATTACTATATTGTTTATGCAATCACTATTTTAGACTTTTTGTGATCACCCGCACCCGATCACTAGTCACACGGGTACCGCGTAGCACTACGACAATTAATCGAAAAATATCGGTCAGAAAATAAGGAAAAGTTAGAAGACGGATAGGCATAATAATGCAAATAAGAAAATAAACTTCGAATGGACCAATTTTATTTAAATTATGAAGTAGAATAATAATCATATGTTTTATCAATCATTATAATATTCGTCATTCGTCAAATTGGTAATTGAAAATCGCTTGACATATTATTTAAACCCTTGGGGCTAACCAATAAGATGGTTTTTTAACTGAAAATTTTACCGAACTAAAAAGCATTGGTAGACCAGTCTTATTAGAGACTAGACTGGGCTGATCCATTCCTAAACAATGCTTTCGGAAATTTATTTGAATAAGGTAGTGATTACTTATAAGTCATTAAATACGTTATGATATCATATAAAACGAATAACATCTATATCTCCTAATACCGGCATAACTCGACGGATCTCCGGGCCCTTCAGATGACCGGAGATTTGCCTCTTATTCCCGTCGTTGCGGTGAATAAATAATACGTATTTGAAATTCCAAGTATTGCTCAAGAAAAGAAAAAAAGAAATACGACAGTGTGTACAAAATTTAGCCACAAAAACAAACGGCATATATTTTAGGTTTTAAACGTAACGATACCTGATTTTTGGGCGATACTCGGTTCTGGGTAACACGAACCTAGTACACGAACTGTATACACAAGCCGGGTAAACACTTGGTAAGATTGTACTAAACCGACTGAGATTAGTTTGATTTGTTTGGTGAATCTACTGTCTCAGCCAGATACGTGGTAGAAACTTTTAAGGCTTAGTTAAAGATTATGCTAGTTATGGCATAAAAAGAAATAGTTTCTATCGCATCTTAACTAGTCACGTGCTACCGGACCTAGTCTTCCGCTCTCTGAATTTAAACACCTTCTTTAGATAGGTGATATGCATTTAATGATCGAGCCGCCATTTTCACAAATGACGCCAGGGTACTACAGCCAAATACGAGAACGCAATCATGTACTGTTGATCAAGATATAAAGAGAAACAATGACAGAAAACATATTAGGCCACGTGTGACAAAAGTTGAGCTGTATAAGAGCCAAACTTCATCATAATGAAATATACAAGATTGTTCCTTGTAATGTTGGTTTTATCATCTTGGGTTTTAGCCAGAAAACCAAAAGTTATAAATCCGTTTATTGTTGAGCATTCTTTGCTTGCCTTATTAAAGCGAAATTTTAATTGTTTATCCGCAAGGAAAGGAATTGCTCTTAATCGAGAAGAATTTCAAACAGTAACACAAAGGAAGTTAATATTAATTTCTTTAGATTGGACTCGCACCCTTATCTCTTGGTCATGCATCTATATTAGCTAGTTTAAGACATCATAACATTGATGTTTTTTCTCGTTCATGGTCAGTAAATGTACCAAACTTTTTACCTGATGATGTGGTAGAATTTATCATGATGCATGCTAATCCTTGTATAGATGTTGCAATAGGAGCATTTATCTGGAATGAACAAGCGATACAACATATATTAAAAAAAATTAAAGAAACACAAGTTTCCAGGGAAAGTAATTCTTGGTGGTCCTCAAGTGAGTTATGTTAAGAAAGGAATAGAAGAATATTACCCTTATGCAGATATTTTTATTCGTGGATATGCAGAAAATGCACTAGTGAAATTAATGTTATCTAAAAAACCTTTTCCCTATATTAAAGGAGTTCATTATTTTGGAAAACCAGATTTAGGACTTTCAGCTGTTACAGAATTAGATACTTTACCTTCACCTTTTTTAAATAAATTTATTCCACCACAACGTTTTATTCGATGGGAAACTCAACGAGGATGCCCATTCCGCTGCGCTTTTTGTCAACATAGAGAATCTGATGTGTCAATGAAACGTCGTCAATTCCCTATGTCACGTGTCATTCAAGAAGCAGAGTGGATAGCAAAACATTCGAACATTCAAGATGTTGCAGTTCTTGATCCAACATTTAATTCCGGACCTTATTATCGTGGATAAATTAATAAAGGAAAAATATCGAGGAAAACTTTCACTCCAGTGTAGAATTGAAATGATAAAAAAAGAATTTTTGGATAAAGTTGTTCAATTAAATGATACCGCAGAAACAATATTAGAGTTTGGTCTACAAACGACTAATCCTAAAGAGCAAGCAATAATAGATAGGCCAAATAATATGAAGATTGTTGAGAAAGTTTTAACCCAGGTACGAGAGAGAAATATTAAGACCGAAGTCTCTCTAATCTTTGGCCTACCTGAACAAACAATTACATCATTCAAAAAGAGCATTGATTTTTGTTTCAATCACAAAGTTCCAGTAATTCATGCTTTTCCATTGATGCTATTAAGAGGAACACCATTGCATGAAAGGAAAACAGAGCTTGGTCTTGTCGAATCCTATGAAGTTGCTTCACCTAAAATTGATCGTGTACAAACAGATATTCCTCATGTCGTTGCAAGCCCTTCATTTACATATGAAGATTGGAAAGAAATGTCCAAAATAGCAGAATCACTAGAAACTTCCGCGAAAAACATATCAAAAAGTTTCGATGGAAAACATAATGTTGAAATAACATCTTCCCTACAAAACTTTAATACATATATTGTTTGAAAATATCAATTCTAGCAGCATTTGTAACAACCAAATAATAGATTGTAATATAAATTTGTGTGAACTATAGATAAACATGAATATTCATTCAACATTATAAGGTTGTATAGATGGGAGTGAAATTTGATTAATTTCCATATTTTATAGAATCAAACTTCAACAGATGAAATTTGTCAAATTAATAGCGCCGACTGGAGTTTTTACAATTATCATAGAAACTCTTTAAAATCCTACTGCGAAGATTGACAACATGCCTGTGTGCATTATAGAAATTTATTACTTCACTTGTATTAAACTTATTAGAACTTTATGTTATCTAGGCTTTTGTACCTAGTTCAGCTGTAGTCACTAGAAAACTTATGATTTCTCTTTTGTCTCATTTACTTTCACTTATTGATGTGTTTAAAATGTTTTTATTAAAGATGTACTTCGTGTGAGATAACAAAATAATCGTACTGCAATGTAATGTCTTTCGGACAATAAACTTTATCATGCAGTGCGGGTTTACGTGTTATATTTAGTGACTTGAATCGGTTGGGCTATAATCGGTTAATCGACACGAACCGAATAAATTTTAGTTAACCGGTTGAGGAAATTCTTAATCGGTTGACCCGGTACAACCGGATGAGAATTGAGTAATCGGTTTGCGGGTCGATATAGTATGAAAACGACGTAAGGATAGAGTAAAGGATCCGAAGGGACTAAACAGTGTGGAGAAAATTTAGCTAATCAGTCCCTAATCGGTCCCATTTAAATTAAGCAAAAACTAATGCAAAAACTGATAAACTTTATTAAAAAATGTAACAGAAAAATTATTTTTCTATGACTTTATTTATTAGATGAATACCAGTTAAAACTGCCAATTTTTTATAAATCTTACTCAAAGTCGGCTTACAATTACTGCAGGACTGATTAACATCCCTATTTGCAGCATATTGGTAAGATATCATGAAGTAGATTAATAACAGTAATATAACAGTACAATATTAGAATATCTTGATATTTTACTCTTAGCACTCTGGGCTTAAAAATAAGATATCAGGATCTCTATATTTTGCTATTATGTTACTGATATCGATCTACCTCCCGATATCTTACCAATATTATGCCAATATGCTGCAGGAAACTTGTCTCCCGGTATGCACCTGACATTCATTGATTCAACTTGTGTATATATTCTGTATATATCTAATTATAAATTTTTATTTTCTAACTTTGAATTTTAAAAATTATTAATTCTACTTTTAGATATGCTCTGTTAAAAAAAAATACTTTGAAAAAACAATAACTGATTTTTCTTATAAGGCTAGTAATAGTAGTGCAACCTGTATTTTTATACTATAACATGTAAAGGTATTTTAAACTTACAGCATACCTATTTCAAAACTATGTTAGCTATGTTGATTAATTTACTATTATATTATTTAATTATAAAAAAAAGTACAAATTTCTAAAAGATTTAGATAAAAATTGTACTTAATTTTTGAGTTTCTATTGAATGAAGAGTATTTATTAGAACTATCTTAAAGTTTCTATGTTGGATTTTTTGCAAAAGCTTTGAGTAGGTTTCAACTTATAGCTTCAAGATGACTTTTTTTTACTCTAAATTGATAAAATTTAATAAAATTTAAAATTCTCTATATAACAAATACTCAAAACTTATATATTTATAGAAAGTTTCAAATATAGCTTTATTCTTCAGTATTTTATAAACAATTTCAAAGTAATTCGATGTCTTGACAAGAAGTTGAATTGTTTTGAAAATTTTAAATTGATATTAATAATTATTGTAATAATAATAACAAACAAGATTAAGGAATTTGGAGCTTAATTTGACTAATTGTAATATAATTATTGTATAATTAAGTAATATATAAGAGATTTAATTAGAATTTTAGTCAAACTTCTATCTTATTTCTTTGAATTAACTGATATTATAATATAACTTTGAATAAAAAAGTGATTTGATAGAAGAATAATATAGCAAAAAAACAATAGATTAAATATTTAATAGTTTATATTAATTGTCACAGATTATAGCAAAATCAGATTATCATGAAATCTAGAGCTTTAATTTAAAAATATAAGTTTTTACAACTCTAACAAAGCCTACTTATACTTTTTATTATAAACTCTAACCTTAATACTAGTTCAGATTTAAAAAAGCCTAAAAAAATATACTCTAAAAAAAGTTAAAAATTGAAATTTATAATAATCCAAATTTTATGATTATCTATGATATTAATTGCCAATATCAAAAGTATTTAAAATAAGAATTAAAGTATATAAAATAGCTCAAGCATTAGTAAATATATAAAAAACAACTTAATATAGCAAACAAATTAATGATATTAGTCAAATATTAATACAAATAAATAATAATAAATTATGATTAATTTTTTAAAGTATTATTTAACCAACTAATAATCAAAAAACAAACTAAAAAAATCTAAAAATCTAAATAGATTCTGATAACTTTTTCTAATAATCCCTTGAACCAACTTTTACAACAAAAATCTTTAACAAAAATAGTAAAACTATATTAAAAAAAAGAATATAAGACTGATGAGAACTATAAACCAGTGTTTATTATTTAGCATTAGAGATAGTTTTTATATACTATTTGCTAATAGGTTTAAAGCTTATCACTTATTGTGAGTTAGTATTTGTTATTTAGAAGTAGTTCTTATATACTACTTGCTAACAAGTTCAGAGTTTATTACCATAAAGAATATCAGCAATGCACTTAGATCTACTTGTCTTATTACTTTTGAAGAATTATATACTTTTTTTTAAAAAAAGTACTAGATTTATACTCTTTACTATTACCTACTTATGCTTTTAACAAAATTTTTAAAAAAAGTGGGCAAATAGCTTACCCTTATCAAAAGATTAGCATTGTTTACTTTTTTCAAATTTAGACAACTAGATGAATTATAACTATATATTTTATATAATTATAAAAATAAACACAGTGCTACCTACAGAAGATTGGAATCTAGCATCTAATCAATATCCAAATATAGTCATATATCAGAAAGAAGGCATGATATAAAGTAAAATTTTACTTAGTTATATAATTTTTAATTTTTAACTACATACTATGTTTTTATAGTGGTAGTTTGGTCAGCTTATAGAGGTTTTTTTTTTGTTTTTTTTTCTATATTCCCCTCTTTCCCCTTTTATTTTCCTTTGTAATTTTCTATTCATTATATATTTTTTTTTTAGCCTTAGTTTTTTTTTATTTTTTTTATGTTAATTTTGTATTAGTAATATAAAATTTTACTTTTTATGCTCTCAGTAAAGAAAAAAAAATTGAAGAGATTAGTTCTTAATAGGCTAACAAGATCTCCTAACTAAATTATTTTTGGGTTAGTATAACAGGTTGCTTCTAGGTATGGTTTATATAGCTAGAAGGTATTAAGCTTGCAATTTGAAGAAAAACAGATTTTATTTGCTGTGATAATAGTTAAATAAAGCCTTTTGTATTTAGGCTCTAACAAAACTGTCAAAGAGCTAAAAAAAAAAAAACTTTATCAAAAAATTTATTAAACAAGTACTTTATAATTAATTGAAGTTTGCAATCTATTTATTTAATATTTATGATATTCTAATAAATAAAGGTAAATAAGAGTAAATTACTTTTATCTTTTTTGTAAAACAAGATATTAAATTTTATAACAACATCTTTTTACAAGTTATATTAAAATTCAAGTTTATTAATTTAAAACAATAAAACATTGCAAAAAAAAATAAATCAACTCAAATATTTAAATGCTAAAAAATTAGAAGGTTAAATAGTTAGTAAAAACTTTGTTACAATATAAGCATAAATAAAGACAATATATTTTAAAAATATATATTGTTGCTTATAAATCTTAACTTGCAAATTTACAAAGTTTGAATACAAGTATTTAAGCAATTTTAATAAAAGACAAATATCATTATATATTACAATTTATATATATAGCTATGCAAGTATTACAAATTAGCTAAATATTATTTTAAAATACTATTTAAGCTATATAGCTAATTTTAGAGAAGGTTTTTTATTGTTAATTTTAGATAGATTAGTTGTTTAATGGAATCAAAAATTTAGTAAAATTTATATTAATAAAATTTTTAATAAAAGAAATTTTTCTTTTTTTTTATTTTTAAAATAATAATCAATAAGTTAATTTATAATTAGCAAAAAATATTTGTAGTATATATTTTATTTTGGAACTCAAGAATAAATTAGTGATACAAATCAAAAGTTGAAAAATCGATTAGTTGAACAAGTTAACAACTAATCGATTCTATTTTTTAAAACCAACTTAATTGATTAGTTGATTAGTTGTCAAATCGATTAATCGATTAGTTGACAAATCAATTAATCGATTAGTTAACAAATCGATTAATCGATTAGTTGACAAATCGATTAATTGATATGTTAACTAAAACAAACATTTAGATATTAGCTGAATTTTTATAAATTAAGTCCTCAAGCATTTTTAGAGACATGGACATATCAAAAATTTCTGTTACTTCCAGGAAAACTAGATTTGCTAAACATAATTATATATTTAATTTTGGCTTTAGCATCTATTCATGTAATAATATATGTAGAATTTTAAGCAATCGATTTTATTTGACTAATTGATTAATTAACTAATCAAATGGTCAACTAATCGATTAATCGATTAATCAATTGGACAACTAATCGATTGGTTAATTAATTGATTAGTCAAATAAAATTGATAGTTAAATATAATAATTTATCAACTAATCGATTGAAAAAAGTTTGCCAATTTGTAATACTAGAATAAATCAATCTAATTTTAAAGTACTAGAGATAAAAGACTTGGCAAGTTATACAAAAAAATCCGTAGTTCAAACAATATATAATATCTTTAATTATTTTTTTTTTT